TCCATTTCCCCGCCAATAACCAACACCTATTAGAACCTAGGAATGACTTTTTACAATAAAATCTACATGTACTATGTAGCAATAAGAAAATATATGTACAAGTTCATTTCTGAATTTTTTTCTTAGTTTTATCCAGAAAATACAATTAATGGTAAACATCAAATTAAAAATTTAAGCCGCTTTCTTTGCTGAATTGTATCTCATTTTTTGCACTATTTTATCAGCATATTATGGAGGTATTTTTTCACAACTGAAATTGCTATTAATTACCAACTAATGGAAGCTAACTCTAATATTAACAAACTCCATAAATGAAATAAAACTGTTATTAATGATGAATAGATTTTCTCTTTGTAAATTGTGTACATTATTTATTATTGACATTGTTATGCCTATAGCACAGTTGCAAAAGTCAACAGGTAAAAACAAACATCCTTATTGTGACGTCACATAATGCTGCCTTGATGTAGTATGACATAGCCCCCTCCCCCCCCCCCCTTAATTAGTAAGGAATGTATACCAAATATAAAGTCTATACCTCTCATGGTTCAAAAGTTATGGCGCAGGTTAAGGTTGTCAACAGACAGACAAACAGACAAAGTGAAAAACAGACAAACAAACAGACAGGACAAAACAATATACGACCCGGATCTCCGGGCGCATTAAAATAGTTAGACTTGATCAAGTATAAACTATCGTAACAATACCTTTAAGACAATGTAATATGAAAATTGTTGCAAAAATATAACGATGCCAGAATAATTGTGGACACTTTCAAGTTCACTGATATATCATTTAAATTAATATGATGTTCAGTTTGTTTTTTAGACAATTATTTTTTCAAATTTTATATCTTGAATTTGGCCATTTATCGTAGAATGACTGTAATATGAAAAATGTGAGTCAGCATTTGACTTATTGAATAATTGTAATTGCCGACAAGTTCATTTCATCGGCCATATATCTTACAAAATGTTTGCTTTACATGAGACTTTTGATATTCTTTCATCAACTTGTTTGTCAATAATAAGAAATTGTTTTTCGTAATAACGATTCTTTATTAGATAAATAATTTTTATAAAGCATAACACTATATTATTATTAAGTAATCTTGGAATCCAAGATGCTTTAGGTGCCTGAAAATTGAGATTTAGATTCAATATCGATAACGACGACTCCATCCTATATATTTTTTTCCTGATTTGCGATCTTTTTTATTCATAACAAAGGTAAAATTTCTTCATTTGGAATTGGGAGAATCTATGTATTGTAATTTTGAAATAAACAATTTATTAATACAGTGAAACCTGTCTAATCTGACATGCACTGGGAAAATATTTTTGTTTCGGAATAGTCACTGTGTCGGATTGTACAGTGTAAAATAACATTAATATTACAGATAAATTGGGGAAAAAAATTTACGCTGGAATTTAAAGTATTACGGATTACACAGGTGTTAGATTAGAAAGTTTTTACCGTGCTTCCTTTAAATTTCAGAAATTGACAACTTATTCTTTCCTCATTAATCTAACACTTTTACAAAAAATTCATATTGAATATTCGACTTGAACTATGTAAAAGGGCATTATGCAAACCTGCTTATCCCTGAATTGCAAAGGTGTGTGTATTCATGGATGAATGGTCATGTACTCCAGTGTACATATTTTATCATTGATACATATAATTATTCTAAAGTCTTTTTCAAATATGATTCAGGATACAAAATCTTTATGAAATATTTTGTATAGTTTAATTTGTTAAAATAAAATTTATGCACAGAAGTCTATAAATACTATAAATTCATTAGATCTTTAATTGAAAATAAATGCACAATATGTATAAATTTCAATACAATATTTGTTAGAGCTACAACGTATAACCATAGAGAATAATACCAATTCGCATACTAATATTCAAAAAGATAAAATCAGGTTTTTGGCATTATAATTTCACATAGATATATATCAATCTATTTAAGTTGTTTAATAGTTATGGTTTAATCTGATTGATTATCTGATTTTCTGACAAAATACTGCAAATGAAAGAAGATTTTCAAAGAAATAATGCACTTGGAATATGATCTCTGGGACCCGGCCCTTTTCCAAAATTCCTGACTAAAAGCCATATTTGTCACAATTTATAAAGAAGCACCCTAATGTATAATAATTATGCACATAATTTGTTTGGCAATTCTCTTAGAAGAGAGGGAATGTTGTTAAAATAATGTATGCATTTTCACGGTAGAATCAGTAAAGCCCTTCCTTAACACCAGATTTTCACAATTTCGGAAGAACACTTGCTCGCTATAACTATGCTTTAGGCGTCTTTTTTGAAAACTCAAGAGTAAAGAAATGGTTTTCAAAAATATAATGCATTTTTACTATATAATCTGTAAACCTCTGTCCTAACTTACATTGGCTATGGATTTCACATTGTTGGACAAAAAAATGACCTTTGCTTATGTAACAAGGGTATTGAATGACACAAAACTTCTTTCAGGTTCTTTTAATATATATATTCTACAGTTGAGTAATATGGATTCATTAGTATTCATGTATAGCCTTGAAGACATCATAAAACAACAATGAATGAAATGTAAATATATCACACATAATATTTATTATTTTACATATAAACATAATGCTCAGATTATCATCGTATATATTTACATATTATTCTCAAACGGAAATAACCCGGGAATATATGAATCTTTACATATTTCTCCAATAAGAGTCATAAAAACACTCAAAATTTAAAACACTATTTTATGGAAATAAACTTTTCCAGGAGTTTATTTCATGTATACATGGCTATGAATGGGGATATGTAAAAACATATAATACAAAATTATTTTTAATATTATCTCTTTAAAATGTATCAAGAAGGATATGGAAATAACGAACAGTTTTCAATCTCAACCTCCATTAAACAATATGCAAAATAAGAGGAGAGCAAACACGGACCTCCGAAACATCAGAGGTGGGATCAGGTGCCATGGAGGAGTGAGCATCCCCTGCCGACCGGTCACACCCGCCGTGTCAGGAAATAACGGAAAAAATCCGTCGTCAATTCAGTGTATAAATAATGGACTAACAATTGGTATGAAAAACGTCAGTCAGCATTTCATTCAATGATAAATTGTATTTGCTGACAAGGTCATTGTATCGTCCATAGAATTTACAAAATGATGACTTTAAACGAGACGGTTGATATTCTTGTTTCATCAACTTGCTTGTCAATAATTTAACTCGTTTAAGAAATTGTTCATACGTAGAGCATGCTCTTGCGTATCGAATCAACTGAGATATATATACTCCGTATGCAGGTGATGAAGGTATATTGCTGCATAAGTAAGGAAAGCTGACGATAGAAAAGTTAAAGTCATCACATTTATCATATAGCTTGGTTATTATATTACCATTAGTGTCTATTTCAAGTAAAATATCCAAGTATGAAGCAGAAGTGTCGGACTCTGTGGTATCTTTTATCTCAAGCTCACCAGGATATATCGTGTCGACGTAGGAATGGAAATTATCATTATTAATTGACAAATGATCACTAAAATACAATATAATCAAAACATTCTTTATAAAATCAAAATCTGATTTAAATAATCATTTTACTTCTATCAAGTACTTCATATTATTCTTGTAATCACTAATAAATATAAATCATGAAAAAAAAACCTTGTCTCAAATTCATTCATTTAGTAAGTGCGAATGGAAATAGTTTTTGCATAATATTGGATGCAGACGTAAAAATAATGTAAAATGAATATTTTTAACTAAACTGAATTAAGGCTGGACCAAGGTTTCAAACAACAAATTTTAATAAAAGTTTAACTCAATTCCATAATTTTATTTTAAATAAAGCAAACAAATTCACTTATTATAATAATGCACTTTGTTTATCTTTGTTAAACAACAACAAAAGGAAGATTGAAAGAAAAAGAATAGGCCCATGGGCCTTATTTCCAGGAAATAATGCATTTCACCATATAATCAATAGAGCCCCTCCCTAGCACTAGAACCCCTGACCCTGGGGCCACTCTTGCTCGTCATTACTATTACTTAATTGGTTTATTTAATATCCAGAAGCAAAGAAGAAGATTTTCAAAGAATTAATGCATTTTCACTATATAATTAATAGAGCCCCGCCCTACCACCAGAACTCCTTACCCTGGGGCAATAAAATTCACAATTTTGCTAGAGGCAATTTTGCTCATCATAACTATGTACTCAGATAGTTTATACATACCCAGAAGAAGAGAAGATTTTCCAAGAAACAATGAATTTTCACTAAATAATCTATATAGCCCAATCATAGCAATAGAACCCCTGACCCTGGGCCATGAATTTCACAATTTAGGTAGAGGAATCAATACTCATTACATTCATGACAACAGTTTGACTGCTTGATGTCAAGGAGTAAAGAAGATTTTTAAAGATTTCATTAATTTAAGTGGTTTGGCCCCTGGCCCCAGGGGGGGGGGGGGCATGAAATTCATAATTTTTGTTTCCCTTTACCCATATATGCAGAATACCAAATTTGATTGAAATTGGTTCAGTGGTTTCAGAGAAGAAGCTGAAAATGTTCAAATGATACACGACGTACGACGACGAACGAAAACGGAAAGCAATAGGTCACCCGAGTGATTCAGGTGACCAAAAATACATACATAAACATTAATGCAGTTTTGCCATATGATCACCATACATTGTAACCATGTCCTAATTCAGAACCCCGGGCCCAAGGCTTACGAAATTATTGGCTATTATAAAACGTCAATTGAGGATATTTCAAATCTTTATTTATGTGTTTCAGATTATTTTGTTTAACTGGGCAACAGAGCGTGTTTTCTCATCATAGACACTTGATTCTACCCCTAGATTTCCAGGAGCTGGTGTTTATGCAATAGTTCATAGAACTATATTATTTGTAGTTTTTAACCAGATCGCTGCTCATAATCTTACTGTATTGCACATCCGGGGTTTTTGTTGTCATTTTCTGATTTTTCGAGCACGAGGAGTGATGTAATTATATGAAATTGTTTTTGAATCATAAGGGGATTTCACCAACTGAGTCTTTGTTTCACAGAACTCCGGGCTACGTGTCTTTTCATTTAAACATTCCAAATGAATAACAGGTTCCCCTTCTTTGTCTGTCTCCGATTTGTTTATTCCCTGGTATTGCTTTACAATTGCACTATCGTCCCAAGTTCCACCATGTTGGGTCTGTGACTCTACAGAAATCCTATTTCGTGATTTAAATACACCATACAATGAGATTTTGCCATAACTGTAAGATTTTTTCAATTCAGCCCCGTGATCAAACAATTTCTCTTCAACGGTCATATGTGCAGATTTTAAAGCAGCATTTAGTGGCAACTTGACGTTTTGATCAGAATGAATGATATTAGGTCCATGCACAATTACTTCCCCTTTGACAGTCCTACGTGCAGATTCTGAAGTATTAATTCGTGTCGATCTGACATATTTATCAGAATTATTGATGTCAGGTACATGCTCAATCTTTTTTTCTTTAACATGCATATATGCAGAGTTTGAAGCTGCATTTAGTGGCAACTTGGCATTTTTTTCAGAATTATTGATGACAGTTCCATGCTCAAATGTTTTTTCTTTAAAAGTCATATGTGCAGATTTTGAAGCAGCATTTAGTGACAAATTGATAATTTTATCAGAATGATTGATATCAGTACCATGCTCATTCATTTTCATTTTAACAGTTATATGTGCAGATTTTGAAGCATCATTTTGTGGGGAGTTGAAAATTTTACCGGAAGTATTGATACATGTATTAGCTTCTCCTCCTCGCTCGATAATTTCCTCTCTAACAGACAATTTTTTAAATTCTGAAGAAACAGTTGGTGACAACTTGACATTTTGATCTGAATGAATGATGTCAGGTACTTGCTCAATCATTTTCTCTTTGACAGTCATATGTACAGATGTTGTAGCACCATTTAGTGACGAATTGACATTTTTTTCAGAATGATTGGTGTCAGCTTCACGCTCAGTCAATTTAGCCTGTGCAGATTTTGAAACAGCATCGAATTTTTCACTTTTGTTGACGTTAGCTCCACGTTCAGTTAGTTTCTTTACAACAGATATATGACCAAATTGTAAAGCGGCAAACAATGGTTGCATGCCATATTTATCACATTGATGTATATCAGCGCCACAATCGATTAGTTTTTCAACTACATTTAAATTCCCTGATCTTGAAGCAACGAAAAGAGAAGACATGCCGCAATCATCACATTGATTGATAGCAGCGCCACAATCGACCAATTTCTCCACAACAGGTAAATGCCCAGATTGTGAAGCAGCCAATAGTGATGACCTGCCAAATTTATCACATTGGTTAACATCAGCGCCATGATCAAGCAGTTTCTCAACAATAGCGAAATGACCTGATTGTGAAGCAGCCATCAATGGTGACCCACAGAACACGCTGCATTGATTGATTTCAGCGGAATGATTTATCAATTTTTGAACAATTGATAAATGTCCAGATTTTACAGCGGCATGCAGTGGCGTCCTACCAGATAAATCCTTCTGATTGATCTCAGCGCCATTATCAATTAGTTTTTCCACAACAGTTAAATGCCCTGATTGTGAAGCAGCAAATAGTAGTGACTTGCCAAATTTATCACATTGATTGATGTCAGCTCCACATTTAATCAGTGTCTCCACAACAGTTGTATGTCCAGATAGAGAAGCAGCAAACAATGGCGACTTCCGACCAGATCCATCACATCGATGAATGTCAGCGCCACAATCGATAAGTTTTTCTACAACATATAAATGTCCAGATTTTGAAGCAGCAAATAAAGGGCACGTGCCGTAGTCATCACATTGATTAATATCAGCGCCATAATTGATCAATTTCTCAACAACAGCTGAATGCCCAGATTGTGAAGCAGCATATAGTGGCGACCTACCGTATCTATCACATTGGTTAACGTTAGCACCACGATCGATTAATCTCTCAACAACAGTCAAATGTCCTGATTTTGAAGCAGCGAACAGTGGCGACTCGCAATATTTATCGCATTCACTGATTTCAATGCCCTGATCGAATAATTTCTCAACAGCGGTGTATTTTTTAGATTCCAAAGCAGCGACAAACGGTAGTGACTCGCCCAAGTTTCCATTTTTATTTATGTCCGCATCATTCTCAACTTGACTCTCTTCATCAAATGTGTGATCTGATATCAAAGTAGCTGCCAAATGTGACTCGCTAAATTCATTAGATTTGTTTATTGTAATTCCATAATCATTTTTTTTCAATGCAATAGATAAGTGACCTGATGGGAAAGTTTCATCAAGATGCTTCACGTCATGACTGTACGTATCACATATTTTAAGGGCATTATAAGGTTCATCTAGACACTCAGCATTAGCAAATTCCTTTGGTAGACAAATAGATTGCGATCGAAATAACCGATTTGCTATCGCATGTAGTTCTTTCTGAGAAAGATCACATAATGATTTTCTGTACATATCTAATACTTCCCTTTTCATGAATTTAAGGACAAAATCAATTAACAGTCGATCGCCATTGTAGCAGGCAATTATCAAATACTTAACTTGATCATCAATTTCACCAAACATCAAATCTGGTGACTCATTATGACTAACAATCAGATCAATCAGAAACTTAAGAATGGTAATGTGACCATAATAAATTAGGAAACTACAGACGTCACTGCTCTCCACCTTTGCATGTGAGCATGCCATAGGGGTTTTAGTATCAATCTTCACATTTCTTGAGGAGTCAAGTATGTAGTATTTTTTAATTTCTTCAAATGTTTTCAGATTCAAACCTTTGAGGAAAAAAACAACAAACTTTGAGGAGAAAAATATTCTGGCCTTGAAAATAATTGGTCTTCCCTTTCTAATTTCCTCGTGAAATCTGTTGGCAAGGGAAAGAAAAAAAGAACTGTGTAATTCAAATTCTAATTGAACCGAAGCATTGGATCTTAAAGCAACCCCATTTATTAAAAAGTCAATGGAGACATGTTTTATGATAGCCACTCCGAACGATTTTCCATAATGTGATGAAACAACTGAAAAGAGCATCGGATGAGAAATTCTGAAGTGGTCATCATTTTTACAAACATATGACCCAAGCATTTTTGCTAGTGAATCTTGTATATCAGAGATTTTGATATTGCTATTTACATTGCAAGTTTGAAGAGTAACTTTCAGTGTTGAACTTTTTTCAAGTATCTCCTGAGAAATCTTGTTCTTATGAAGTACACAAAGCACAAGTGACGCATAACTTAAACTATCTCTCTTCATCAGACTATCAAGTTCATAATGAAGACAACGCCAGGGTTCTTTGAAAAATCGTTCACCAAAACAATGAAGATTTTGCATTGAAAAATACAATTTACACAGTAGTGGAAAACACATAGGAATATCGTCCTCAAACAAATTATTTGCTAATTCCGGTGCTGTGCTATATTTCTGAAAAATGCCTAATCGTTCCTCAATATCAGGTGCATAATTATTAAAGTGAATTACGTTTTCCAGTTCAAAACGATGATGAAATTTCAACATGGTATCGAAAGTATCATTTGTGCACGTTATGAGAAGCTTTGATCCTCTCAAAAGATTTGCCATGTTTCCATCTAAACACAAAAATGGATGATATATGTTTTCAGTCAAAAGATTAAGTAGGAAAAACTGTGATTGGTTGGGATGAAATAAGTTATTGATATCCGTAATCTTTGATATAGGACAAAAGTTATATTTCTCCTTGAGTTGGAATGCAAGATGGTGAGCTAGACATGTTTTACCACAACCAGGTTCTCCAACTAAAACGACGACATTGGTTTTCATCATTTTCTCAAAGACCACTTTGAAAGCGCTTGTCTCATAGTAGGTAGCATCGTTTACGATTAATTTCTGAAGCATTTTCTGTTGATGATCTGAAAAGAGAAAAAATTTTGCGGTATATATTAAAGAGTTTTTTTTTCTTATATTAAAAAGAAACCATAAATTATTTGCCTACGCAAAAGCTAATTTAATGAAATGCAGTAGTACTTTTATAGGAAGGAAAACATCCTATATTTACATTAAAAATGGTTAAAATCTATTAAGTGTAAACCCTTGCAAAAAGCGAATTATATTAATACTAAAGAATTGATTCAAAACCTTTTTTGTATAATGATTAGAAAGTCGGACTAAATGAAACCTACCGGGATCCCCTTCATTTTAGGATGTCATTTTATAAGACCTTGTATATGAGAAAGTGGCCCCAAAGCAATTATCATATTATATATAACGGAATGAAGTTTGACGTTAAATCTTCTATGACGTGTAAATCTAAAAACCTTTTATACTGTATGACGTGTCCTACATGTTGGGAAAATTATATAGGACAAACCAGAACCAGATTAGCCGACCGTGTTCGCGTGCACAAGCAACAGATTAAGGATCCGACCATAAGAAACACGCCATGTAGTGAACACTTTGATTCTTGTAGCAAAGGACATTTTTATATATTTCCTTTTTACAAAATAAAAGAGGAAAATGAACAATTACGGAAAGCCAAAGAACAATATTGTATAAATCTGTCTAAACCAAAATTGAACTGTTAAAAGAAATTTATATCAAATTATTCTATTATGTACATTTTACATAAAATGTCTCCAATATTGTACATTTATAATAGGCGCTAAACTTTGATCAGATGTACTGTAAAACTCTATCTGTGCGCTTGATTTAACTGTGATTATTATTACTTCACAATCATTATGTTTAACGTTGCCTACATAACTTCACGAGAATGACGTCATAATGTAACTTGTTTACAATTTCAAATCTACTGATGAGCCCGCATGGGGAGAAAGCGCTTTTGATAAAAGTTTGAGTTTATCATTTGAATTTGGATATATATATATATATATATATATATATATATATATATATATATATATATATATATATATATATATATATATATATATATATATATATATATTTAAAAAAAGGTAAAAAGAAAACACAAAAATCCTCAGTTAAGCTTTAGCGCTTTCATTTTCAATCTTCAGAAGCTTACAATAGTATCATAGTAACAGTGATTATGACGTCATGTTAAGCGGACATGTTAAATGTCTATTATGACGTCATAGATACAATATGACAAAAGTACGGGGAAATCACAAGTAATTTATAAAACACTATTAAGTTTGGGCTGAAAAATACTAAAAAAATGTTTTTCTTTTTCCCGTCTCTGGATATCCGTGATGAAAAATGAAAGCGCTAAAGCTTAACTGAGGATTTTTGTGTTTTCTTTTTACCTTTTTTTTTTAAAATATTGTTATCCGATTACTGAGACATTATTTAAGTTTTGGATATATATATATATATATATATATATATATATATATATATATATATATATATATATATATATATATATATATATATATATATATATATATATATATATATATATTATATGATTGAATAATTTCCATCCCTCTGATTGGCTGAGATCCAACTATGTTAGAAAAATACTACGTTTTATTGACCTGCACGTGACGTTCCAAGTCAATACAAGGATTTATTTCCTCTACATTGATCTAAAAATAGATTTGGAAATTCCAAATTGATACAAATTATTTTAGAAAGCTATTTAAACAACTATGATTTTTATTGTCATGTAAACAGAACATAAGCGAATGTATATTTTAGGTGAGGGTGGTAAAAGGGAATGCAGGACCCCCCCCCCCTTCCAACACATTAACTTTTTTTTTAACTTTTTGGCAGTCAGTTATCCCTGATAATACTTCTTCCTTTCAAAATCTACCCAATAAAAAGAGACCGACATTACATATTTCTTTCAAGGCAACTAAAATAGATTTTGAAAAAACATTTTAAATTGATACGACTGGTAAGGTTTGTTCACATTTTGATTCTGCTTCTCTCTTGTATTTGCCTAGGACTTAAAATAAAATGCAAACAAGTATTGAGCTGTATCATTTTCTCAGTGAATCATATAATAAAACAATTATTGCTGTTTTTTTCGGTCAATACAATGATTTAGCCATCTTCGAAGTACAATATTCACCTCGCCCTTCGGGCTCGGTGAATATTGTACTCCTCAGATGGCTAAATCATTGTATTGACCTCAAAAAACAGCAATAATTGTATAATATATATATATATATTGGCTTTCCGTAATTGTTCATTTTCCTCTTTTATTTTGTTTTATTTTGGCGCTTAACTTTGATCAGATGAACTGTAAAACTTTATCTGTGCGCCTCATTGAACTGTGATTATTATTACGTCACAATCATTATGTTTAACGTTGCCTACATAACGTCACGAGAATGACGTCATAATGTAACTTGTTTACAATTTCAAATCTACTGATGAGCCCGCATGGGGCGAAAGCGCTTCAGATAAAAGTTTGAGTTTATCATTTGAATTTGGATTTTATATATATATATATATATATATATATATATATATATATATTGTACCTCTGTGACTTTGTTCAATAGAAAAACATGACGAATAAACATGATATCTTTTTCAAACAGCCCCTTCTGTGAAATAGTTTTTGTGCTATCTGCCCATGGTGAAATAGTCATCAAACTATTCACCGGCAGCATTCTGTTTCCCTCGCTTTTATCTCGGAAAACTTCTGGTTTTATACGGATTGTGACGCTTATATAATATGACGTAACAGAAGTTAAGTCAGCATCGGTATAATATGGAATATCATAATAGTGTGTACCCTGGACTCCCAAAAGTTAACAAAAGTTAAGTCAGCATCGGTATAATAAAACATCCATTTACTGACTATTCGGACAATAGCAAGTTTATCGTCCCCCTCGACAGCAAACTGTTTAGTTTGCTGTCTTGGGGAACGATAAACTTGCTATTGTCCTCATAGTCAGTAAATAGGTGTTTAATATATCAGGATACTTTAAAGGCATTTTCTTAAAATGTAAGTATTTAGGTTTTCGAAAAATTCTATGTTTATTTTTCCAAGTATGTCAATTTAATTATTGTTAGTTTCTCTAGCTCTATCATATTCAGTTTTAAGTGTTTTATTTGTAATTGTTCGCCTGTTTAATCTGTAAATCACCAGAATGGAACCCTCTGTGGCAACGTACTTTGAAAAAAAAATTCAAAGTGCGTTAAAATTGGGAATTTTTTTTTTCAAAGTGCGTTAAGTGTGTACATAATCATTTTTTTTACCACGAGGAAATTTAATGCACTTTGAAAAAAAAATGTATAAAACACAAAATCTTAAACTTAGATTTTTGTAATTTAGAGAATCAATTTGTAATAATTATACCTTTCGAAAACATTTTGATTTACATGTACTCATATAACTTTATTGAGAACAAAGAGCAGACGAGTAGAATGTCTCTCAGCAAAACTCTTTTTTTTCCCGTATACATTGTACATAGCCATAGGTAGCAAAGTGAAAGTGGACCCCAAAGGTAAGCCCCGATTTTCAATGCCTATATTATGCAACCTTTGCAAAACATTCGTGTGCCTAAGCCCCCCCCCCTTTTCCGATACCGATGCCCATGATACACCCAAATACATGTATTTGCATGACTGGCACGACGTTGACAAATTTTAATACATTCTAGTTGACATAAAATGCATGCAAACTGGAAAAAAAAACAAAATCGCCCACTTTTACACCCTGAAGTGACTTCATCACCGAGGAATTATCAAACAGTTCAATTATTTATCATACCTAA